CCCCGGTGAAGGTGTGATGAAATTCATTGGTCTCTTGAGCTCGCAGCTGTTCTCTAATAGCACATCAACGATTTGTACAGCCTGTCCTTGACCCTCCTTCAAAGTATTACCGTCAAATTCGTGAGAACTACTGCTCGATACCAATTGAACATCATGAATAGGCAAAAAACGCTCCAATTTTTTTGATACTGCTACCAACGGTGTTATAACCCTTTCTTCATTCGTAGGAGCATCCACGTACTTAATCACAACAGAACCAACGAAATCATGGGCTTCGCCATCATCATCATCGTCATCGTCATCGTGTGAGGATGACCCAAACTCGTCATCTTCATCCCCCCCGGTCTCTTTTCCTTGCCCGCTCAAGTCCTTAACAAATTCCTCATACTTTGCGAGGTCGTCGAAATAAACATCCCAGACACACCTTGAACATCCGCTTCCACAACAATCACTGGGTCCAGGTTCCCGTGGACGTTTCGGTGCCCGCCCATTCATCAACTCCTTTTTTGTTTTCTCTTCACTTTTGATTCCCCGCTATAACGCAATTTAGAGCAAAAAAAAAAAAAAAAAGGGGGGGGGGGGGGGGGGGGGAAAACAGGAAGAATCATATTGAATCAATCTGAATATTTACAAATTATCTCGCCTTCTCTTTTTTTTTTTTTTTGCTCTAAATTGTTCGTTAAACCTTTAAAATATGTAGCTTCAAATATCATTTACGCCGCAAAATGGTTTTCCATCGTTCTTTAAGGCGATACTTCATTCACCACCCTCTCTCCCTCCTACGGCTCAGGTGAGTGTGTCACAATGATACGCCACATCTCATCTCGAAGAGACTCTGGAGTAAGTTCTTCATTGTGCCGCCAGACGTAAGGCTCATTGGGGGCAGGCTCCTCCGTGGAATTTCTAAACTTGGCGAAATAGGGATGTTCAACTACCTCCTTCGCCGTAAGCCTTTTAGCTGGGTGAAATACTAGTAGTTTTGAGAGTAAATCCGCCGCTTCAGGCGTCGCCATAGGAAAAATCTCTGTGAATGGTCGGGTCTTTTGAGGAGGCTGAGCGCAAAGAAAGTTTCTAGCCTCATCACTAAGAAATTCCATGTCCTCAACTGTTGGGGTCCCGAGCAAATGCAAAATCATAATGAGTTGACGAATGTAATCGGGTCCGGGCAATAATGTTTTGCCCACCATTAATTCAGCAAAAATAAGCCCCAGACTCCAAACGTCCACCGCATTCGTGTACTGGTGTGATCCCATTCCCAGTACTTCAGGAGGACGATACCATCGCGTGACAACGTATTCCGTGAGGGCATCTGAGACTGTCCATTGATCATCGCGGGCAAGTCCAAAGTCACAAATAGCTAGAGCACAATCGGCATTCACCAATAGATTACTTGGCTTTAAGTCTCGATGCATAACCTTCGCACCATGTAGGTAGCAAAGCCCTCGAAAAGCTTGAATCATAAAATATTGGTAATGTTCATTCGTCAGTTTTTGTCTGCTACGAATAATACGGTGCAGATCGGTATCGTACAAATCCATCACCATGTAGATGTCGTCAAAATCATCCTTTCCATAGGGACGAATAAAATTCCGAAGACGTATCAAGTTGGTGTGATGGAGAGTTGTTAAAATATCCATCTCCCTTAATATGCGTTTACCTTCCTTTATATCGGCAAAGACTCGAGATACTTTTTTAATAGCCACACGGTCGCCGCTACCCTCATCTATTGCAGAACAAACAGAACCATATGCACCGCATCCGACCAGTTTTATTAGTTTGTAAGACTTAGCTACCTCAAATCTCTGGCCTTGAACTAAGTATAATCTTCGCCCCTCTGCCAAAGTTGCCACTTCCTGGGGTTTATCCATCCTTCACTGTTACCAAAAACAACAGCTTAATTTCCCGCACTAATTCTTACTGTCCATTAAAAAGGGGCTTTTCGTCAGTCAATAAACTAAAATATATATGCATACAGAAAAAGAATAATTATTCGTATAAATAAAACAATATGCAGATAAAAACAAACCCATTAAAAAATCCAATGCACTCTGGAGTTCAGAAATTTTAACTTTCGAGGGACCGAAAAGAAATTTACAGTCGTAATAAAAGTAGACTCAAAAATTATTTTCTGGTACAAACTTATACATATATGACACCAAACAAAAAGTGCAATTATGCCAAGGGACATGTCAGAACCATAGTTCTTGATGACTTAAAGAATTTCGCAGACACATCATCCACTTTTATGGCCTTGGGAAGCCTAATCACTGCTTCATCCACCTCGATAACATCTAAAGAAGCTGTCAACTCCACATCCTTCATTGACATCACATTTGGAGGAGGATGTAGCCGCACCACAATCTCTCGCTCATTGCAATCCACAGACTGAACCTCCCATTGACATGCTTCTTTCTTTGTTATATTCGAATTTGTTGGTTTGGGATTCTCTTTTATATGATCTGTTTCCGTTGCTGCTGGAACCTGCGTTGCACCGTTAACAAGTTGGCGCGTGTCAATCACTTGACATCGGTTTCGAAGACGTTCAGGAAAGTGAAGAAGTGGGTCAGCTGTGGGCCGATTGCATTCACCACTTCCTCCAGCACCGTATAGTCTAACACCATCAAGAAATCCCTTTCGAATCCCAGTAACAACAGGCATCTCCTTAATCAATGGTGAACTTTTTATCTCACTCTGCAGGTGGGGGGCATTTAAACAAAGCTCAGAGGGTAAGGAAATTTCCTCATCTTCACCTTCATCAACAGGGTCAGTTGTTGTCCTTTTCTCCACTGCTTTCACAATTCTAGAAAGAGTCCAATAAAAATTATCTTTACCATTTAAAAAATATTTTTTATTTGGAATTAACCTGCACGAGCGTGGGTTAATTCGCATACCACATTCCTGTAAAATCCACTCAATTGCAAGATTTGTGAGTCTAATGACGTAGTGATCAAATAAAGGGTGACTCCGCACACACCGAACAATCAGTGTTGGATGGACAACAACGTCTATGGTAAATTCATATTTTCCTCCGTCATATTTTTTTGCAGGGCCAACAGCTATTGGGATAATCAAATTATCTACACCATATTTATCTAAATAGCCTTCTGGAACCACCTCCATATTTTTTGCCAAAGCCATTCCAACTGATGAGTGACCACAAACATTAACCACTACCATAGTCGCATTGTCTGCCAGCAGTGCCTCAAAGCAAAATCCGACCTCCATACCCGCAACCTAGAAAAACTAACTATAATAATAATAATAATAATAATAATAATAATAATAAATACTGGAATAATCTTCCGGGCCGCTGGCCGGATCCTGAAATTATCTATGGAACCAAACAAGTTAGGAAAAAAGGTTCTTTAGTGAATTGCCTCAATGTTTTATTTTCATTCAATATATAGAATTCTGTGGACCACTAGCATGGTCCTTTGTCCTCAGTTAGGATTTGAAATATTATTACTTACGAAGTGGCAGACTTTGGGGTCCTCCAACCACAATACCCCGCCGCGTGGTGGGAATCAAAAGGGGGTTAGGGTGGGATGGCAAAATAAAAACAAATATTATCTGGCTCCTATCAGCTCCCTGCCCCTACAAAGTCGCGTTCTTCCCAAAAGATTCATACGGTAGAAAGTATCATAAAGAATGCATTCATTTATCAGGATATACACATACATTAATTAAGTTAGCCAGCTCTCCCGCGATCATTCTTTTCACAAGCTCCTAAAAAAAGCAAAGGAAAACTTCTCAATGCAAACTGAAAATAATAATAATAATTGCAAAGAAAGAATAATAACAAGACTTCACCAAAGTACAATTTCCTTCATTTGTATAATGGATTAAATTGTCAATATCAACGATCGCCAGTTCCCCCTTAAATAAATAATTGAAATTCAAACCAGATATTTCTTTCCCATCCTGGTTAATAAAAAAATATATCATGAAAAGATTTTTTTAATCAATGAATAATTAAATCAATAAATCCAGCCAATAGTAATCCCACAAGATGCTTATTTCTTCTGTTTTAGGGGTCAGCTGAAACAAATAAGATAAATAAAATTTAAAAAAGAATAATATTCTGGGCCGCTGGCCGGATCCTGAAATAACCCAAAGAAACCAAACAAGGTATTAGAAGAAGGGATTTTCGCACAGTTGTTTCTTTGCTTCCATTTCTTCCTTTCATTCGATATATAAATTTTATTGACCACTCGCATGGTTTCTTTTCCTCGGAATATAATTACTTAGAAAGTGGCAGGCTTTGGGGTCCTACAACCACAAGACCCCGCCGCGAGGTAGGAATCAAAAGTGTGTGGGCGAAAAATAAAAAATAAAAAGTAAGGAAAAATCCGTCCTGCGGTTATCGGTTCCCTGACGCCCTTAAAGTTGTGTTCCTCCTCAAATTCACAAGACAAAAAAAAAAAAATGAATGCATTCGTTTCATCAAGATACACATATATATGCATTAATTAAGTTAGCCAGCTCCCCCGCGATCATTCTTTTCACAATCTCTAATAATAATAATAATAATAATAATACACAATAATCTTCTAGATCGCTGGTCGGAACCTGATTTCATCGATAATAGAAAACAAATCAGATAGAAATAAGAAAGATTTAAATGGAAAAAGAGTGGATTCACAAAAAACTCAAAGTTTAACACCAATTAAACGTATATTTATATATCATCCGTTAGCCACAGTCGCGGCCCGTTCACTCTATTCGGATGGGATATTTATTTAATTTATTTCTTACGAAGTGGCAGACTTTGGGGTCCTCCAACCACAAGACACCGCCGCGTGGTGGGAATCAAAAGGGGGTTAGGGTGGGATGGCAAAATAAAAACAAATATTATCTGGCCTCTATCGGCTCCCCGCCCCTACAAAGTCGCGTTCTTCCCAAAAGATTCATACGGTAGAAAGTATTATAAAGAATGCATTCATTTATCAGGATACAAACATACATTAATTAAGTTAGCCAGCTCTCCCACGATCATTCTTTTCACAAGCTCCTATAAAAAAAATATTTCTTATTCATTCAAAATTAATATTTGTTTTCACTTAATAACCATCTGAAGACCGTCTTTAGAACAGTTCAAATTAAAGCAGCAATTTGGCACCTCAATAATTCGCAATTCAATTTTCATTATTGTCATTGCTACTATTAGCCGTTATTCTTTTTTATTCTAAATAATTTATCCAAGGGCAAATTATGAAAATAGAAAATAACACTTTGATTTAATAACAATCCCGCATAATTAAAAAAATGGAAATAATCTGTTTGGAAAAATAAACTTTTTAACGCTTGCTCAACATCTTTACAAAATATACATACAAGGCACAGAAAACAATTAACTCCACCAACGCACATTTCGCCAAAAAAGAAAAGACGCGAGTAACGGTAAACATTTCACAAAATGAATAGTCTTCTAGACCGCTGGCCGGAGCCTGAAATAATCTACATAAACCAAACAAGGTAAGGAAAAAGGAGATAAAGCAGAAGCAGTTAGTTACCTATATTTCTCTTCTGATAAAATATATATATTCCTTTGTCCGCTCATATAGCCTTTTGCGCACAGGTAAAACTTGAAATATAATATTAACCAAATAAAAAAATTGGGGGGTCCGCCAACCACAAGTTCCACCCCTTCGCCAAGTCCTGAAGTGTAAAAACACGACCGCGTTATATGCCGTCTGCGGGGTTTTCCGCAGACCGTACGTATGCAAAGGATACCTGTATTCCGCGAGAGTCCAAAAATTCATATATCCGTTGCAGCTCCCACGTCAAGGCGTGTGATTTCGAGCTGCCTTTATTCGCCGCTCCTTGCAGCGAAGTGTTGTCCATCCAAACGTCGACGGTGCGTGGCAGGATGGCGGAAAAAGCCAATAGGGCCAAGCGCACCGCGCGTGCCTCGGCCTGCATGATAAGAAAAGGCCTCCTCTCCCATTTCCCTCCGGCAATTTTAACGTCGCCGGAGTCTGGAATAAAAACGGCCCCTCATCCATGGAGCGATGCGTTCGTGATGATGGCAGCCGATGCCTTTTCCGTGGAATTGATGATTCGCCTACGATTATTCCCGATGATGTGTCGTAACCCCTCGCCCAAGCCAATCGCTGCCGGCGGAAGGTTCGCCGGGGATGTCTCCTGCACAATCCCCCAGTTAAGTGCCGATAATCGTCGTCGCACTGCCTTGCTGAAAAAGCGGTAGTCACATAAACACGTGCACAAAATGGCAGCCGCGTACAAAAAGCGTGACGCCACAACCTCCATTCCCGCGATGGTTGAAGAATTGAGCGCCGGAATGGCGCATACAAAGCGGACAAACCTTTCACTCAGGGATACCGCCCGGTGAGTGCGATCAAACTGCACCCCCAGAAAGGTGCACTGCGTAGCGCCCGATTCGCGGTCCTCCCCCAAGGATGCGCGACAACTGTCCGCATTACGAAGCACCTGGGCTTCCCGCAATGTCACGTCGCTTTTCGACCCTGCAATGCGTATATTATCGATCCAAACGTCGACACGCACCGACGGAGGTGCGGCCCAGAGGGGGCGAACCACCGTCGTCACCACCGCAATTGCCGAGGTAATAATAATCTGGAGAATTTCTGGGCCGGCCTTGCATCCCATTGGCGGCCGTGTCAGCTCCACCAGCGTGCCGTCCTCCACGCGGCACCGAAAGAAATGCCGAGTCTCCCGCAGTAAAGAGACTTGAAAAAAGGATGCCTTGAAGTCCAGGCAGGAAACGGCCTCAGCCATCACAGGTGACAAATAATGGGGAATTTGCAAAAGAGGAACATTAGCCTCGTAAGGGTCGTCGCTGTTCTTGTCGCGTGGCCAAGCCGCCCATCGTCGTCGCAAGCCGGCGATT